CTGGGAACAGAGGCCCCGGGGCTGGCCCTGAGCAGGGCTCGCTGTGCCAGGGCGTGCGTGGCAGGTGGCGCCGCCGGTGGAAGGGGCCAGGGCTGGTTCCTAGACCTGGTCTCAGGCTCACAGGGAATCTGACTCTTGGCAAAGCTACTCCACTTACAACCCTTGTTTTTAGTCTGAAAAGTGAGAATAAGCCCACCTCCTGCGGTCATTCTAAAGAATGCACCTTCCAGACAGCACTTTAAACCACAGACCACAAGCAGCAGCAGCTACAGACACTGCACTCCAGACACGCAGAGCGCAGCGAGCAGGCGCGGTGAGAACAGCCGTCAGGACAGAGGGTCTGAGAGGGACTGGAAAGAAGGTGGAGAAGGGACGGCCAGCAGGCCCATCTCCCACCGCCTCCTCTTCCTTCCTCGGGAGCGATGCATGTTCCCCGCGTAAGGACCTCATGAGCCCTTCCAGACCCTTCCTGCGAGCCCCGGCGAGCGCACCTGAGCCGGCTCTTGCTGCGGGCCACGCGCGTGAGTGTGTAGCGGTTGACGGTGTAGAAGTAGTCGTGGTAGGGCACGTCGTGGGTCAGGACCTCGGCGTCCACCACGTAGCACTCGCTCTCCTGGCTCGCCTTGTACATGGTCTGCGGGGAGGAAGCGCGGACATGCTGCCGAGGAGCAAGGCGGGGAAGGGGCCCCTGCCCGAGTCGCCCCACCCTACCCCCAAGTCTGAACGGAGGACCCGGCGCCGCTGGAAATGGCGGCATCTAAGCACGCGACAGGCTGCGTGTCCAGGAGAAGCACCTGCACCCGAAACTCCCGCACACCTGGCTGCACCTTCCCCGCAGGACAGAGGCCGCCAGCCGCCCCCTGCTCCCACCTCACCTGTGTCTCCCTGACGGTGGCCGTTTTGGGAGCCAGAGGGTTGGTGAGGTTGATGGTGTAAAGGATCAGGCGGCTCTGGTCCCCGTTCTCCTCCTTCTTCCAGGGGTGGAAGACGATATCTGAGGGGGCGAGAGCCCTGCAGTGAGGAGGGCGAGAGGTGCCTCCCCAGCGACTTTCCCTCCAGGGAACTTCTGTTGACCCAGCTGAGCCACTGGCCTCCTAGGAAGCCAAGGGAGCCCGAGGGCAGAGAGAGGCTGGGGGAGGGGGAGTTCGGCAGAAAGAGGCTCATTGTGGCACCGCAGGCTCTGCCCAGGCTGCGCACACTGACTGTTCCCAGACGGGGCAGGAGGTCCTGGGGCCGCCCACAGGGACGCTGGCCACACTGGCGGGACTGTGACGAGGGCCTGGGACCCTGGGAACAAGCCCCTCCTCTGAGCCATGTCCTCCGTGCCCTCCCCTCCCGGCAGCAGGCGGCGCGAGGCCCAGCTGCTCTCTCAGGACGGGGCGCCGGGAGGAGACAGGAGCAGGGAGGCATAAGGCATGGCCTCGGGACTCCTAGGTTTGAAGCCTGGCTCAGCCCCTCCTTAGCTGCATGGCCTTGGGTGAGGGCATAACAGCCCGAGTCCCAGTGTCCTCGAGGACACGTGGGGTCACCATCCTCGCACACGGGGCAGGCGTGAGGATGAGACGGTAACGCACGGTGCCTGGCACACAGCAGGCGCCTAACCAGTGAGTGGCAGCTGCTGCTCTTGATGAGACGGTGCCCTGCACGGCCTGGACCTCTGCGAGCCCTTGGCCCGGCACCCAGGGAGAAGCTGCTTGGAAGAGAGGACAGAGGGTGGTGGCGGGAGGGCGGTGCCAGCCCGGCCGGGAGGGGCACCTGAGAAGCGCCGCTGCTCCATGAAGTCGCGCTGGAAGGGCGAGTCGGTGAACAGGAGGTGGTAGAGCTTGTCCACGCTGAAGTTGAAGATCTCATTCACGTACTGCCGGCCGCTCAGGTCCTCGTAGAAGGCCTGGACCTCCCCTGCAGAGAGGACGACAGTGACTGTGAGGCGGTGCCCGGGGGACACAGAGCGATGCCCGGGGCTGCTGCAGGCGCGGCCACCGCGGGGCGAGGAGCCGTGGAGTGGGCGCTGACTCCGTCCCTGGCACGCACACCGCTCCTCCGATGGCAGTCCCCGCATTCAGCCCTCACAGAGAGTTCGGGAATGTGCCGTCTGCTTTTACACGTTCACGCTCCCTCATGAAGGTAGCTACCTCAGACTAAGATCTACACACACGGCTACTTCCCGGGCTCGCTGGGACCCGCAGGACCAGCCATCGCGTCTACACGCCGGCGAATGGCACTGCCCATGCAGGGGTGTGCTCAAGACGCTGACTCCCTGCAGTCATCGGTTTGTGTAAGTTTCTGAGGCGGCTCTGCAGGCCATGATCACTAGGGCTCCTCTCCTTCCATAAGGAGCCCAGTCTCCACGATTTCAACAGCTTTTACATTCATTTACTTATTTATTTTTAAGGGAGGAAGGGAGAGGGAGAGATGGAAACATCAATGATGAGAGAGAATCATTGATCCGCTGCCTCCTGCCCCCATTCCTCCCCCCACCCCCCCTACCAGGGATTGAGCCTGCAACCTGGGCCTGTGCCCCACCCGGGAATCGAACTGTGACCTCCTGGTCGATAGGCTGACGCTCAGCCACTGAGCCCTGGCAGGCGGGCAGTAACTTCTAAATGTCTGGAGTTTCCGTCTGCGCCAGGAGAATGTGCTGAGGGTACAGGTGAGCGGCTGAAGCCCCCGTGCTTCCCCCGAGGCCTGGGTGCCCGCAGCCGATGACTGCGCCTGCGGGGCTGCTGTAGAGTCTCAAGCGCCCCGAGACCCTGAGGGGCCAGGGAGGAGCTCAGGGACATCCTACAGGGTCCGTGCCCAGGACTGTATGGGAGAGAACGTTGACTTGTCAGTTTGCACAAATGGCACCCCAGTCAGGATGCAGGAGCAACCTGCACAGGCATTCGCTGGCCCTGCCCCTGGGACGGGGGTGGGAAAACCAAGGAGGTCATGGTGGGCGGGGGGAGCGGTGGGGATGGGACCCCGGGAGAGACCACAGCGATGAATGCGCACTGTCTCCATCTGCTCACCAGCTCAGCACTGGCCCCTCCTCCGTGGAGGCACACACACCACCAACCAAGCCCACGAACATTGCGCCTGGCTCCGCCCGGACCAAGCAGCAGCACGTTCCGCGTGAGGCCAGAAGCAGCGGGGGGAAGTGAGGGCTGTTCTCTGAGAACCTTGGAGAAGGGCAGGGTCCGGGTCTCAGATCCCGGCTGCAGGCACTACAGCCAGTTTCTATCACAGCTACTGCCCTCCAGGTGCAGCGCGGGCTGCGCTTCCTGCGGCCCAGACACTGCCCGCCCCTGGGAGGGATGGCGCTCAGGGCCAGCCAGCGCCAACGTGGGAGGGGGGTAAAGTGAGTGACAGGCCTGGGGAGCAGGACAAGGCACTCATCTGTTGAGCAAAGGAAGACAAAGCTGGAACGATGACGTTCCTGCAAGCAAGGCCCTGAGAGGGGTCCACGCGGGTAACCAGTGAACCTTTAAAACGGCTCTGCTGCCCACCAGCCTTCCGCCAGGAGCCGCCGACTCGGCCTCCACCTGGGGCACCTTTCCAGCCCTCAGCAGGGAGGAGGAAGGCCCCCGCACCCCTCTCCCCCCCCCGCCCACCTTCGTCGTGGGTGTCGGAGGAGTCGCTGAGCTCGGTGGGGAGGTCCTCGTTGTCGTTGAAGTCCAGCGAAGGGGAGCTCACCGGTGCCAGGATCTCCATCTTCTCTGCCACGATGCTGTCCATGGCCAGCTCCTTCTCCAGGGGCCCCTCGCCGTCCAGCGCCTCCTCCTCCAGGGGCAGCCCATCAAACTGGGTGGAGACAGAGAGTCACCCAACGGGGAGCTGGGGCCGGCTGGGCGCCCTCCCGTTCACAGCAGCAGCCGGCTGGCATCTGGCCCTGGGTCGTCCCCCGCATGGCGGCCAGGACCCGGGCAAGTTCTGCCCCCACTGGCCACCAAACGGCACAGCAAGCCGGGAGGGCAGAGTGGCTCCTTCTGCCACAGGCCCCCGGAGCGGAGCGCGGCCACTGTGACAGGACAGCGTCGGCCTGCTTCTCCCTGGGGCCTGTTTTCTAAGAGGCTCAAAGGCTCCATAAGCACCTTTTAAAATCCTTGCTCAAGGGGTGAGGATATTTTTCCCGTTGATTTTTTTTTTTTCAGAGAGAGTAGAGGGCGAGGGGAGGGAGAGAGAAACTTCGATGTGAGAGAGACACATCGGCTGGTTGCCTCCCACACACTCCCCAACAGAGGACGGGCATCGAACCCACGACCCCCTGAGGTGCAGCCAACGCTCTAACCACTGAGAAACCCGACCAGGGCTTCGTAGCATTTTTTATTCATCTTCCCACTAGCCCTGGGCGGGAACAGACACAGCCCCAGAGGAGGAAACTGGAGACTCGGCTCTGGCCCCAAGGCCAGGAGGCTGACGCTAGGGCGCCGCGCACACGGCGCCTGTCCTGGGACACTTTCCCGAGGACCCGCCATTCCACCTGGCAGCTCCCCAGACCCTTCCTCCATCGAACTCTTCTCTCCTCTGGCACTGAGCTCAGGGACAGAGGGAGGTCCCTCTTACACATTTTTGTCTCTTTCACCAAGTCCAAGAGTGAGAAAATAAAGTAGAGTGTGCACACTAGGGACTCAAAACTATTCTCTACTGAGTCAACCAATAAGCAGACAACAGTCCTATCTACACTAATAAAAGAGAAACATGGTAATTGGCGTACGACCGCTACCCTTCCCATTGGCTAATCAGCATATCCTTATGCAAATTAACTGTCAGCCAAGATGGCGGCCAGCAGCCAGGCAGCTGGAAGCGAACATGAGGCTTCCTTGCTTCAGTGACTGCAGACTCCAACATTCCCCGCCT